GTTTTCTATGCGTGATCGATTACGAAGTTTTATAGAGGACAAAAAGATTGTTTACGAGTAGTCGCAGTTGAGAAGCCGTGAGTTCAAGGACACGAAGCCGTAATGGATAAGAGTGCGTTGCAAGAGTGCGGCTGTGAAGAGTAATATCATGAGTAATATCTGGAGTATCAAGTCAAAGTCAAACTGCGACTGACGGTCAGTCAGTCAGTCAGTAGGTCTTGGTGTCGAGCCCCATCTGGGACTCATGACCAGATATTTATTACTATTTGACAGTTACGGTCTTGTTTTTGTGGGGCTCCCTCTCTGGCGAGAGGACGGGTCTGTCTTTTGTATACGCTCCTGGCCCTTGTCAGCGCAGTGTCTGGAGTGTGTGATTAAGTGAGACTTTTATAGTTCCTGTGTTTTAATTGTGTTACAAGGAGAGGACGGGTATGTGTGTCTAACAGTGAATTATAAAGCGTAGAACTAGTTATAGCGCTATAATTACGTGTAATTACTGGTGGTGTGTAGAAGGAGTAAATAAACTCGTTCAACCAATCCATGTAAAGAAACTTCCAGCGGCATTCTCTTCTTATTGGCTTTCAGGCCGTGAAAATCCTCATCACGTAGTACACACGATGCCTTTGTGCAATGGCAATAGCCCTACATTGAGACGTACAGAATATCGAGAAATAATCTTCACGTTGTAAATTACGCTTAAATTTTCTTCCTATATGCCTCTAGAGTGTTTACATCCACTGCGTAGACATTCCGAATGAAGCATAGATCGAGGTTAGCGGCCAGCTTCACGCTGCAGCTGCTTTCTCTCCAGGTATACATTAGATGGGAGGCTTGGTGGACCCTAGAAACGGGCTGCATGCTCTGGCGAATAGAGAAGTCCCTGCCACTCCCGAGAATCAAATCTCGCTCTTTAGACGCTTAGAAGAGCATCTTTTTTTTTTTTTGTATTGCTAGTGGGGTGGGACTACGTCCCTTGTACTGCAGTCACTTCTGGCCTATTGTACCAGCCCCAGATGATAGGTGAGGGTGATTGTGGAGCAATTGGTGGAATGAAGATTGGTAGGGGAAACCTAAATACTCGGAGAAAACCTGCCCCAGTGCCACTTTGTCCACCACACATCCTACTGGACCAGTCCCGGGATCGAATCTGGGGCTCCGCGGTGGGAAGCCAGCGATTAGCCACTTGAGCTATGGCGCGGCCCAAACGAACATCTTACTGACAGAACAATTAAAGGTAAAGAAAGGTAAAGTTGTCCCTGTGCTTAATTAATTATGCACTACCAAATGAAAGTGTATGGGGGAGTGGATGTATACACCCAAGTTTTCTTGACCTTGGCACTAGTTGGAATTGAGTGATCAGTTTCACGCCCCGGCCATTTTACCCCCAGGGAAACAACCCCCAGTGCCCATTGAATTTGAGGCTGCTTGGGCCCCAGAACCAGTCTGGACGAAGTGGAGAAGAGAAAATTTTTGACCTTACCGGGACTCGAAATTCCACCCCTCGGTTATACAGCCCGTAGCTAGTTGCTATACCGAATACTCTATGCATTTACACTTCTTAATACAAATATTATTAGTACAATAATAATAGTAATAATAAAACAAATATCATCAGTCAGAATTACTAGGTTTTTGGACTTTGTGTATCGCCCGGTATTCTAGAAACTATCTGCCCATCTATCTCTACAATCCTTTTCTTGGACTAGTCTGCTTTTTCTGGTTCTTAATGCTATATGCAGTCAGTAGGACTCTTTGGACGAGGCCTCAGCCCGTCGCAAGGCCTACACACAGAATAAACGCATACAGACATCAATATCTTGAGTGGGATTCGAACTCATGATCCCAGCGTTCGAGCGGACGAAGACAGTTCATGCCTTAGACCGCGCGGCTACTTTGACATTCCAGAAACTAGAAACTCGTAGCTACTTTATTACTAGCCGCAATAGTAGTAACAATGTTAATAATAATAATAATAATAATAATAATAATAATAATTGCAAAAAGGACAATGTTTTTCTGTAGGATATGGATGGGAGATAGAACTGACATGATCCTACATGTTTTCTTGTTACTCTCTTCTGTCAAAAAATTGAAACTGAACTGTCATGTTAGTAGCAGACGAAGAATAAATGGAAAATGATCAGTAGCTTGAAATTTCCTGACATCGTGATATTATTATTATTATACCGCATATTTTCCGTGATCTCCTTAACTGTCATACAGTTCTCTTTCCCCTGAGAGTGGTAATTCAAGTATTTTCTGCGTTCCCTTTCCTTTCCTGGTATTCTGGAAGTATGAAACACAGTAACCGTTGCACAGCTCCGAGCAGTTGTTCAGTCTCGAGCACCAGATGTGATCTTGGAAGGTTTCGTTCATGTTCTCACCTCAAGGATGTTTGTTAAGAAAGCAAACCACATAATCGTGAAGAAGTAGCTGAGGCCTTGGAGCCAGTGTCGCCCCTTTCTTGCCCCCTTCAGACAATCTTTCTCTCGCACCAGAACATCAATAAAATTATAAACAAGGGAAATCTTTCTACTCTGGAAGCATCAAAGCCGGGATCGAGCCCATGCGATCTCATGTAGTCAAAACAGAGATGAATCAAATTACATCTTGCTCCAGCCCGGACATTTCCAATACAATTTTTGTTTCTCTCTGAAGAAAGTGACATTTAATGACAACCCAGATAAACATGCAACGCCTGTTTCCGACGCCAATGTTTCTGTTTGTTTCTAGTAAATATTCTGTGGGAATTAGATACAAGCCCTACTGCTACCGAACAGTAACAATCCCGCTTCATGTTTAGAGGGCCCCAGTCTCAAATCTTCATGAGGGGCGTTGCTATTCTGACAGAAACTTTCGTAGATTTTTCAGTCCTTCTATGCAAATTCCAGGGAAATGCATTAAATTAGGTCACAGTGTCTTCCTTCCACATCCCTTCCGATTCACTATTCTGGAATCACCGCAACATTCACGCTATACAGAGTGTCCAAGGAAGAGTGGCCAATATTCTGGGAGGTTATAATATGGGTCATTCTAAGCAAGAAAATGTATACGTACATGTGTCCTCTTCCGAACGGTTTCCGAGTCAGAACTAGTACACTGTACACTGTACAGACGAACACACCATGTTCTCACACGAGTTGCAAAGTGCGTTGATTTCGACGGTGGAATTTTAGAAAATGTTTATACTAATTAAACTGTACCAACTTTATCATCTGAGCAATAAATACCGGTGGTAGAAATAGTACGTAACATCTCTTTCTTGTCAACAATTTTGGAAATTTACAGTGAAACAGCTCTATCTGGGAAACCGTTCGGAATATGACACATTACAGACACAAAGTTCTGTTTAAGATGACCGATACTATAACTTCCCAGAATACTGACCGTTCCTCCTGGAACATTCTGTGTAGTCTAAACAGTTGTGACGCTTTAAAATCAGTCATGAGAAAATAAGAGTTATATTGCAGTAACGAATAAGTTTTTAAATTGTTTTCAACATAAGTCACCAAAGTTGTTAGGCTTGCGGGAAATATGTAAAGGCAAAGTTGGTGAATTTTTCCTTGGCTTAATTAATTAATTAAGCAGTATTTCATGGAGGCACATATGGGAGTGGAGGTATAGCTTCATTATTCTTGACCTCAGCACTACGTGGAGGTGACTGATCAGCTTCACGCTCTGGCCGCTTTACATACGGGGAAATTCCCCCGGTTTCCATTGTATAGGAGATTGGGTGGCCCCCCAGAGCCGGTCTAGACGCTGTGAAGAGAAGAAAATTCTTGTCCTTGTCAGGATTCTAACCCCGGCCCTCCAGCCCATAATCCGTCGCTATACCGACTGAGCTATGTAGGATACAAAATTATAATCATGACCTTTGTTCGATATTTATATTTACAAATATGTTCCCGATATGCTGATATTATTTAAAACCCTGGAAGCACGTTCAGTAATGGACAAGCCACTAATTTACATAGTTACACTTCTGCAACAAGTACAGCAGTCCCATGCATAAGTGCAGATTTAGTATAGTTAGCATAAGGACGATTTTTGAAGTGGATAATACAATTTTAACCCGGTTCTTCTTTGGTAGTGCCGGTCACGGTAGCCGAGCGGTCTAAGGCGTGCACTGTCTTCGCTCGCTCGGAAGCCGGGATCGTGGGTTCGAATCCCACTCAGGGCATGGATGTTTGTGTTTGTGTACAGGTAGAGGTCTTGCGACGAGGTGATCACCCGCCCAAGGAGTCCTACCGAACATGTAAGATCTAGAAAAACCGAAGTGAACGGAGAAGTTCATGGAGGTAGGCCTAGGCCCACTGGGGCTGTATTGCCAAGGAAAAAATGAATAGATGTCATAAAGGGATTTGTAATTTTGTACAGTTTCATCTCAGGTAAATGCTATAATAATGGATATTTGTAAGTAATGTTAACTATTAGTAAGTAATTATAAAACATGTTTTACCTATGTAAGATTTGAAGTTTTCACGGCGGTGACTATGAAGAAAGCAGTCTTCTGGGATGTGGCACCGTGTAGATGTGATGTTAACCGACGTTTCGAAGGAACGTATCGCCTCCATCTTGTACTCCATCTGCAGACTGCTTGTACCGGTTCTCACGGTCTCTTCGCATGCGGATTTTCTTATTTTTCCTTCTACCCTGAAGATGGAGGCGATACGTTCCTCCGAAACGTCGGCTAACATCACATCTACACGGTGCCACATCCCAGAAGACTGCTTTCTTCATGTTTTACCTAAATTAAAAAAAATAATCCCTGAATTTCGTAATTAGGAGGGGTACGGTATTGGAACCCCGACGAAATCACTAAAATACGAACCAAGTCTCGCGCAGTTTAGAGGAAACTACAGCTGTCTATGGAAGACACGAAAGTAATTGTTCAAAAATATGTTAACAAGAAAAACAAAGGAACGATATACAAACGCTATTGGAAACGTGACGAAAACAATGAAAAAGCAATAATGAACTCAATGCCGAATGAAGCCTACCTGTTTCCCCACCTTCTCACGACGAGGAGGTAGCGATGGAGGTAATGAGCCGCAGCTTCTGTTCCTGTTCCCACCACGTCATCATGTCCATTACTTCCTGACCGCTGTTTGTTATCACAGTTCCAGACGCACACTCCTCTTCTCCTGGCCGTTCCTCTATCTTCACACTTGGTAACAGCTCTGCATTCACCGGATAACTCTGATGATGAATCACAGACGTAGCGTTCATACTGCCGGCAGTGGTTGTCGCAGAGCTTTGCATAGGCGATGATGACGTGACATGCTGAAGTGCAGTCGTTGGTGATGAAGACTTCAGACTGGAAGAGAAGGATGGTAGGAAAGATGCTGAAGATGTGGTCCTGAACATGGCTATATCGTCAACATGGGGGGTTTCAGGCGATAGCGAATGTTCGCTGTAGTCTCCAGGTGACAAAGATGACGTAGGGTGGGCTCGAGTGCTGCCAAGTGTAACAAGATCAACAGAAGAAGGCTGTTGGTAAGTGTCAACAGAAGTTGTCACCAGATGATGTGCCTGAAGGCGATGGAGCTGTCCTTGAGAAACTATGTATCCCCCATCTCTACTTACATTTGGGAACGAAGATGCAAGGGCAGCGAAGGGCTCGTCCATTTCGTAATGTTCGCCGTCCTCTGTACTGCTTATGGCGTCTGGTTGAGTGTTCACAAGTTGGATGAAAGTGTTTGTGCCCCTAATGCGATGGTATTGAGGAGTATACCTAGAGGCTGTCAAAGCCGACGATGATAATGGTGATGTAGGATCAATAAGGGAGGCATCATCTTCATCATCAATAAGAACAGGCGAATCTGGGACATCGGTTTGGACGCCTTCGTCCTCATAGGTTTGATAACCGTGTTGAAGATCTGCTGTGGATAGATTTGTGGAGGAATTCGCTGGTGACGGTGGTGAATGAACAACGAGAGATGTTGGTGAAGATGTATCCGACGAATCTGTTGAATGGACAGCTTGAATGTTCGCATTTGTACCGTTGTCATCCATTGATAACAGCTGCTGAAGACTCCGTATGTAATCCACAGCCATTCTCAGGGTTTCCACTTTGCTGAGTTTCTTGTTTGAACGACCTCCTGACGATGCATTCCCTGACGAGTACGTTGACGACACTGATAAGGGAATATGTTGTCTTAGAGTAGCGAATCCATTGTTGACTTGTTTGACCCTATTTCTCTCACGGGCATTGCGGCGTGCAACTGCTACAGGGGGAGGCTGGTGGTGGCTTCTGGGAAGGTTTGAACCCACACCGGTCGGTTTCTTGCGTATCCTGCCGCCATTGTTCACCACCGCGTTACTACCGCTAGTCGCCAAAACAGGCTCGCTGCTCTCAGATACGGAAGCAGTAATTATAGGTTTAGCCTTTTTCCTTAGGATTAAAATTTCACGTCTCTCGGGATGTTCACTGGACCCACTGTTACTGACACTAGCTGTGGGGTGTTGAATGATTTGAAGTTTGTTAGTATGTGATGACGTCATGCTATTAGAAAACGGAACGACTCCTAAAGTAGCCATCATTTAAATTAATATCTTCTTCAACATAATAAATAACACAATGGTTAATGTCTGGCACAAATCACAACTGTTTACACTTGCATATAATTAAATTCACTATTTATTTTTAGAGTTCTTTGCAAATTACTTTCCACTTAACACAGATACACACAAACATATGGCTGATTTTGGCATCACGTGTGAGGCAATTACACATTTCAGCGAGTTTCAGCGTCTTGTGTTTATACATATTCGGGATCTGTGTACAGTTTTATGGTTTCACATCCATTATCTTGTTATTAAGACGCACTGAAGACTCTTTTAAAAATATTCGCAACTAAGTCTCTAATAGTCCTAATATACTTCACTACAGATGTAGAAAAGGCACCTCCATTGTGATGTCGACCGTTAAACACAACGTAAAATAATCTTGTATGATGTCACAGGAAAATGACAAGTATTTAGAACATTCAAAACACGTTTCACAAATATACTTGTTTCTTTTTGGTTGCTGTTAATAATCTCCGCCTCATTCAGTTCAGCGCCACCAGTTTCTCCCCGTACGCACCAAGTCCCACACACTCATGCATTCATATTAAGTGTCTTAAATTACACAGTTATTCTTTTTGTATTGCGACAGAGTTGGACGTTTATGTTTTCTTCAAGTCCTCGACCCTCTGGTCTGAATAGTGTGGCTACCAGTTAACGGACGTTACGTCACAACAGTCGCGTGCTCAAGCCACTTCATTGCTCCTTCGGCCCACGTCTGACTCTCGCTCCAGATATCAACAGCAGCCCCAAAAATCAAACTACCGTCTTCAGCCACAAGAGACCCAATAAGGAAGTTCTCTTCTTAGATCTCAACAGCCGATGCGATGACGAAAGCGTGAGAGAGGGAGGAAGAAAAAAAGGTCTCGAGACCCAGCAGTTTCCCCTACTAACCCAACTTCTTTCTCCAGACCGTTTGCCCCCCTCCGTATGTGACTTAGTTTGAGGGAGTTCTTATCCCTTCATTCGGCGTAAAAGAAGTGTGGCACATAACATTCTGTCGCATGGTAGACACGTACTGTATTTGGGTACGAGGTATGAGGGCAGTGGGGGGATATTTGAAGGGGAGAAAGGGAACAACAGAAGGTCTGTTGCTCGCATTGTGAGTTAGAGCTGAGGTGAGGGGAGAAGTGAGGTTATGTCAGTTGTGGAATGGGGATTATGCAGCGTGCCCTCATCCAAACTTCCACAGGTACTAGACCCAATTACGGAGACTTACATCAGCAGTATCTGATTACGTTTTTCGCAATATTTTTGAATTTATTGTTACAAAAATTACGGTTGCCTCAAACCTTCATCATTATTGTTCGTAATATCTTATAACAACAGTATCTGATTCACAATGGGATGAGCAGAGGTTCGACGCCCGAGTCTTAGCTAACCAATGGCAATATTTAAACTATAGAACTTGTATAGCCTCGAATGAAACAGCGTGATACTCAAGAATGCCGAGTTGGTAAGATCATGTTAAAGGGCAGCTGTGGACTGTCTTCAATTACTATCCAAACAGTCACCCCAAGAGACTCTGGAAATGCATGAAAACCCTCAGTCGAGATTCGAACCGTCTAATCCAAGTAGAAGTCTATAACGTTACCGCTACACCAGTGTGCTCGGTTCGAAACTCGTGGTTAAACATACCATGCATATTACTCGTAAAAATGTAAAGTTGTCGGTATGCTTAATTAATTGAACATCATTCATTGAAGACGTATGGGGTAATGGAGACGTAGTGCCACCGTTTTTGACGTCGGGACTAGATGTTGGTAAGCGTTCGGCTTCATGTCTCGGCCTCTTTACATCCGAGGAAAGAACCCCTTGTACCCATTGAAGAGGAGGTTGCGTGAGCCCCAGAGCCGGTCTGAATTTTGTGAAGTAGAGAAAAATCTGTTTTTCCTGACGGGAATCGAACTCCGGCCATCCAGCCCATATCCAGTCGTTATAAGCTCTGATCTATTACTCGTACGAATTATATTTAAAGAGGCAGCTTAATAAAATTCATATTAATTCATCAAATCATATCTCGCAATATTCTAGCTTCATACGCCTGTCAGAAAAACGAGCATACATTATTTGGATCACTGTCTTCTTGTTGAGTACATCCGGTTTCCCATTACCTGTAATCGATTTTCATAGGCTTCGTGCAAATTATCTGTGTACATATCAAAAAAAAAAAACCTCCTTGGTGTCTCCACCTTATCGTGGTGAGGGGGTTTGAGTATACCAAGGACCCTGAGAGCTATACCAGCGGTAGCGTAGCTACTGGCAGGGCCTCCCTTGCTGGACAGGTCAAAGGGTAGGCATCAGACGAAGAGAGACACCAAAAACTGATGTCGGAAGCAGCGTCATCAGCAGCGACTTGAAGCACAGAGCAAATGATGCTCGAGATGGTTCAAGTTCGTATAGCAACAGGCGTGACCAGAGTGGTTTGAACGGCTGTTGTACTGCGATGTGGAAAGCAAATGGAAAAACTACCACATTATCACTTTTCCTGGATAGTCTCTTTCCAAAAACAGAAGATCGCATTAAGTGGAGAAACTGTTTTGGAAGAGACTGTGGACCTGTCGTCTGACAGATTACTGATGATGATGATGATATCAAACAGTGAAGTTTGCAATTTCGGTTTTATTCTGTCCCTTTGTAGAATTGACTCTCCTTGGTACGAGTGGTCACGGATAGGACCTTCAAGCGACAGTGAGAGATTCCCATGTCTTCATCGCCGTTCTACTATTGACCTAGGCTCTAACTGGGAACACTGCGGCGAGATGATAGCTACACCCCTCTTGTACCTTCAACCCAAGTTTGTGCTGGCTGGCATGAATACATTTGGTTCGATTGTGGTTCGTGTAGATGTATGCTTCGTTACAGCGTCACAAAACTGTAGAAGAATAATCGCGAGCAACTCTAGGCAATCAAGTTTTGTGTGAAGCTGGGGAAGGAAACTGTCGTTACCTGCGAAAGGTTTCAGAAATCTTTTGGTAATGATTCTCTATCACACGCTCAAGATTTTCGGTGGCATAAAGACTTTGTAATATGAGAGAAACGGTGGAGGATTAACAGCGACCTGCGCACCCCGCCTCTGTGGTAACAAGCACGAACGTAGACTGTGTGATGGCTTTCATTCTTCAAGACCGACCTTTGACAATTTGACAAGATGAAGTTAATGAATGCATGGTCCGCCAAATGGTTACACAGGATTTGAACCTAAGAATAGTGTGTGCAAAGATGGTTGCAAAAAAATTGAATGATGATCAAAGAGGGCGTCGAAACGAAACGTCGGCCGAAATGTTCAAACCGCTCGAAACTGAACCAGATTTTCTTAATCGGGTCATAACAGGCGATGAAAGTTGTCTTTTTTTTTTTTAATATGATCCTGAAACCAAGGGGCAGAGTGGGCCACGCCATAGCTGAAGCGGTTAGTCGCTGGCTTCCCACCGCGGCGGCCCCGATTCGATCCAGGGTCTGGTCAAGTGGGATTTGTGGTGGACAAAGTGGCGCTGGGACGGGTTTTCTCCGAGTATTTCTGTTTCCCCTTCCAATCTTCATTCCACCAAATTCTCCATCATCATAATCACCCGGGGCAGGCTACAATAGGCCAATCAGTGACCGCCGTGCCGAGTGGACCCAGTTGGACTCCACCCACCACTAAGCGAATTAAGAGGCAGTGTGAGGAATGGCACACGAGATTGTCTCAAAGACATAATAAAGCTCCCATGAACAAATAAGAAATCAAGAAATTGGTCATCATTTTTTTCGATTCTTACGGTGTAGGTCAAATTGAATTTGTACCACCCGGTGCCACAGTGAATCACAAAATTTTATCTTGAAGTCCTGGACCTTCGGAGAAAGGGGTGATGCGAGTTCGAATGGAAATTTCAGATGATTTGATCCTTCGAGCTTCATCAGAACGCGCCCACACACACACACACACACACACACAGCGTTGTCAGTTCGTGAATTTCTGGAAACAAGTGCATTCCCATGCTTCTACAGGCTCCTACTTCTCCAGATCTGTCACCTTGTGGTTTTTAATTGTTCCAAAAATTAAAATCGGGAGTTCAGGGCTCTCATTTTCAACCACTTTACAGCGTTCAGAAGGCCGTAACCGACTCTATCCAGACGCTAAAAAAGCTGACTTCCAATCCTGCTATGAGGCGCGGAAAATTCCCTGGACCAAGCGTGTTGCGTCAGAGGGATCTTATTTTGAAGCGGCGAATTTAGGCGAATGATTAAATAATGATTTTGTACAAAATTATCGGATTAATTTTTTAATGCACCTCGTATATTCTGTTGTTGACAGCGCACATGCTCATGAAATTGTGATTTAATGTTTAGGACGAAAAGCGGAGAAGTAATACATGAAAAGTGTAGCTTTAAATAAGACTTTTTTATTTCCCAAGCTCCGTAAATTTTTTAAGTTGAGATAATTTAGGATAATGTAGGAATAATTAAAAATATGCATGGGGGGAAAATGTAGTGTAGTAAATATTAGCGAAATTTATAAAATGTCTGTCACTTTTTATTACGTACCTCAGGACCAAATCACCGAGCACCGACAAGTACAGTTAGATAATCTTTGACCGCCAGAAAAGTATCTCATTTTGGAGTTACGTTACAAACATAAGAAAAGAAGTCGTGCCTGAAAATCTTTGTCAAGAATATTTCCTGTAGATAACAGTAATGATTAATGAATGTTACGAGTATTCTGCAAAATTTAGTTCATTAATATAAATGCAGCTGGCTTTTCTTAACTTTGTTAAGTTATTCAGTTTCTCCCCAAAAATTTAGTTTACATAATCTGCAGAATCCGCATTAAATATCTATGTTCAATAAGTACTGACTCGTGAAAGAGTTATGCTTAGTGGAGTAACTCATATACTCAGGCTGCGCCATAGTTCAAGCGGTTAGTCGCTAGCTTCCCAGCGCGGCGGCCCGGGTTCGATCCCGGGTCTGGTCAAGTGGGATTTGTGGTGGACAAAATGGCGCTGGGGAAGGTTTTCTCTGAGTACTTCGGTTTCCCCTGCCAATCTTCATTCCACCAATTGCTCCACAATCACCCTCACTGTCATCTGGGGCTGGTATAATAGGCCAGAAGTGGCCGCAGTACAAGGGACTTAGCCTCACCCCACTAGCAATAAAAGAAAAACTAATATACTCTTTTTTCACTTAGATATTATTTTAATGCTTGTATTGGGTCTTTGCTCAGGTCTGTCTAGGTCTAGGACAGTGCATCTTCTCAGTTTCGCTATTGTCTAGTAGGTTCACTGCTAATGCATTTGTGTGGTTTTCTAATTTTCTGAAGTAGTTGGTATTCCACTTTTTTATTTCACTGAGCATTGTGTTCATTTGTAGATCTTCATGGATCCTGTGGTTGTTTAGCCAACTTTACGTTAGCTTAAATGAAACTTGTTACATTACAAATTGGTATGGTACAGGGCCCAATGTGAAACTTGGCTCCGTTGCATACGCTGCCAGTTCCGGACCTGTCCGTA